ATGTAAGTTGAACTATCATTTACTCATTTGTAGTGTGGACTCTAGTAGCCCTGAGAAGGGAGCATTTGGTTCCCTAAATCTGACTCAAGATTGGGAAATACTGTGTTAAATTGTTGCTGTATACAAACACAGAAATGAATCTTTATTATTTGCATTCTGTGTATCTAAGCAGTATAGCAGAAAAGGTGTAGAATGAAGAAAACTCTGCTTTTCCACATTTTGGTTCTGTTGAAATGTACAACATAAATTCTGTAACTTTTCAGTATATCTACACATTATATAGATAAAAATACCTTATATGAACACATTTCAGAAAATATTAAGTCATTCATTAAGGAACAGCGATGTAACTGTCTAATCTTTTAAAAAGCTGTAGTTGCTCCTACATTTATTTACTGAATGTTTTGCCCTCCTTTCCCCCCACACTGCAGGACTTAAAAACCACTTACAAAATAAAATCAGAAACCATAATCTTAAAACATTCAGTAAGCACCCCTTCTGTGTTAGCCCCTGTCAATGGGACTCTGTCAAAAGCATGCCTGTACAGCCCTGACCTGGATAGCCCAGGCAAGCCTGATCTCAGAAGCTAAGCAGGGCCGATTCTGGCAAGTACTTGGAAGGGAGACTTCCAAGGAATGCCAGAGGCAGGCTACTCAAATCACCTCTCTGAAAAACATCCAAGCCCCCAGTAGAGGTTGCCAGAAGTCACCATGACTTCCAGGCAAGCACACAAACACACATACAATATTTTAAAAAGAAGGAAAAAGCATACCTGTACAATTCTGCTTTATCTTCTCTGCCCCAAATCTAGTTGTAGTGCCTTTGCTTGGCCAGTCAAGGCCTTCTGACTGCACCCTTTTGCAGATGGGTTAGTGCAGTGTCTGCTTACTCTAGAACTTTTGCACAGTGATGGTTCCTGCATGATGGAGGAGCCCAGGAAGGGCCTCCACACTGTTGATTTTCTGGAGGCTTTGTAAAGCTGAATTATTTAGAAAAGTGTTCTTGTGAGATCTCCCAGGCATATTTCTGACTCTTGTAACTGCAGATTGGGTGATTTATATTAATTATATTAATTTTACTCTATTTTGTGTGGGTGATTTATATTAATCTTCCTCTATTTTTTGTGGTTTACCGTAACTTGTTTAAGTCTAAAAGTGTGGTAAATAAATTAGCTCCTTAAATTGAACATGGAAGCAAATCAGCTGCCAAGCTGCAACAGATAAGTTGGTGAATAAGCATTAATCAAACTTCGGATGTGTTTAATAGGAGTGCTCATGCATCTGTACCTCTACACTCCAGTTTATCCTCTTTTGGCTTGATCCCAGCATAACTCCAGAGCCAACCTCTTCTGTAAAATGAGGGCCAATTGATACATTCAGGTGCTCTGCTGAGCTTCCTTCATGCAATCTTGACCGTGTTCCCCCCAAAATAAGACACTGTCTTATATTTATTTTTTCTCAAGAAGACACACTAGGGCTTATACCACAAATGCATAGAAATCCTGCTAGGGCTTATTTTTGGGGTAGGTCTTATTTTCGGGGAAACAGGGTACTAGTATATAGTGCACCACCTAAACCACATGGGAATTTGTATTACTGGAAAGGGTCCAAAACAGGTGGCAGCTGCTGCTATCCTGTGGTATACGCAGGCTTCTGATTCATACAGCTCTTCCTTTGTGCAGTTGCAAGTATGTGCAAGTCTGACACAATTGTATGGTGGAAGTGCTGCTAGATGTATGCATTGGGCCTTGGGGAATGGATGGGGCTGGTTCTAATTTCTGACTGCTTGAAAGTTCACCTTCCTCATTTTTAGATCTTGTCTAACAAAACAGTTTCTTCCCTATGATTGTAGTGTCATAAAATATAATTGATAAGAACTTGGAAAGAACATCGTTCTTTTTTGGATTCCGATAGGAGGCAATCTTGCATTTGGATAACAATAAATTTAGTACCATATCCAAGTTTCAGTAACTGATATTCAGTGCCTTGAAAGCAAGGCTCCTTTTCATTATATTATTGTCAGCGGATTTTTGCTAGTAATGCTCATAGTAGATAAATCTCAGAAAGAGACCTAGTTATGGTAAAAATAGCTACACCTTCTAGGTTTCTTTTCTGTCCAGAGCATGTGGCTCTTTCACACATACTGTGCTGCTCCCGGCAGGGTGGCTGGGGAAGCAAAAGGGAGACATGCCTCCCCAATTGGTTTTCCCTTCCCCAGCCAGCGTTCCCCTCCCTGGGTAGGCTTGCACAGAGAAAATTTACATGAGTTCTCAAAGGCACCCCCCACCTTTCCACCTTCCTTTCTCTTTTTCTGTCTTTCTCCCTTTCTTTCTCCCTCCCCCATCTATTTGCTTTCTTTGTTTCTCTCCCTCTTTTTCTTTCCACCTCTTTCATTCTTTCTTTCCATTCCCTCCCCTTAGACAAATATCATTAGCAAACAGATATCATTGGACAAATAAATATCAGTATCAATATCTGTTTTTACCCCTTTTGTTTTTTATTTTTGGCAGTCTCATTTAATGCTAATAAAAAGCCAATTTGCATATTTTCCAATAAAAATGTGTGTGTGATATTTGTTCATGTCTTACGGCTCTCAAAAATCTGACATTTACTCAGTGTGGTTCTTACGTTAAGTAAGTGTGTCCCCCCCCCCGCTGTAGACTTTTCAGTTGTGTTCAGAGTGCTCTAGCAGAAGTGTTCTGATGAAATGGCTGGCTGCAACTGCCAAAGCAAGCTGAAAAGTTGAGATGCCAAGCATAACTGCTGCTTCAGCCATAGGTCTCTTTTTAAGCTTAGTCATTCTTGTAGATGGTGCTGCCTTGACTTGAATTTATAGAGGACTGTTTCCCAATAAAGCAGTGTTAGTCAGTATATCTTTTGAAGCAAAGCCATAGCCAATGCACCTTTCACCAAAGCATTCTTTTTTGGGACTAGTGCCATGGCAGGAACTATGTACACTGATAGCCTATTCCATAAACTGGGAATAAGATCTATCTGCACACAGTGAACACTCTTGGTTTTTAATTCTTGGCAGTGCCATCATGGTATAGCAAATGGAAAGGCTATTAGCATAGAATGAGTCACTTTTCCATTTCAGACTGTAACCTTCTTGCAAGAGGGTAACACAGAGGCAAGATCTTGAGCCATGTTTTCCTTTCACTCTTCAGTGCTAACTGTAATAGGCAGCCTGGTTAGTCCCAAACTTTGGCTCATCCTAGAGTAAGGGCAAGGACAACATTAAAATGAGCAACTTCAAACAGTTCTGAACATGCAAAACCCCTGGACTTTGATGTAAGAAACCCAAAGGAGGGAACTGAGAAATGTCTAAAGATAAGAGTGTTGTTGAATCCATTCTCTGCTGTACGGTATACAGCATCAACTGTAAAAGAAAAAGGAGTGTTAAGTAGCAAAATGCTTTATGTATACTAAAATATGCTATCTGTTTGACCTTACTGGAAAGGCAGAAAGCTCCTGTGTCTTGGACCATGTCCATGGGCATCAGTTACATATTGGCTAAATTTTGCAAGCCTAGAACATAGCTATGGCATCTAGTTGGGCCAATGCCTTATTTTACTTTTGTCCTTTTAACGCAACTGTCAAATTCTCCCTGTAAAATCTTGACTCAGGCTTCCCACGCAGCATACTTGTAAACTTTTATTTGTGGGGAAACAATCAGCTGTTCCTATTGCAAGTGAATTTGGAAATGTGTCTCTGAAACTGGAATGAACATGTTCTTTTTTAATAAGAATTTTTACAATAAAACAAACAAATACAAATTTGGGGGTTCCAGTACATCTTTGTTAGACAATGTAGGAGGTAACATGATATATTTGTATATTGATCATTTTTATCACCGTACATTATTGTATAAGTATTCTGCATTGTATTTCAAAATGTATTCTGTAGTTTTTCTAATATGATTATATGTCGACATTGTTCATTTACTGTTCATTTACTGTAATCTTCCAGCCATTTATAAAATTTTGACCATGTATTTTGAAATCTTCCTTCCTCTTGCCCTCTCAAAATTAAAGTTAGTTTATCCATCTCTGCAGTTTCAAGGATTTTATTTATCATTTCTTCTTTTGAGGGTACTTCATTATTCCTCCAATATTTGGCATATAATATTCTTGCAGTGGTCACTACGTGTATAAGATAAAAGTCCTGTTTTTTACAGTTTTGTGGCATTATATTCAATAGAAATAATTTAGGTATAAATGGTATGATACATTCCAACATTTTTTGTAACATTTCATGAATCCAAGACCAATACTTTTTAACTGTATCACATGTCCACCACATATGAAAAAATGAACCAACAGATCTTCTTTGTGGTCTCTGTGCTTCACACCAATGGGTTTAGTGCGCACGTGCTGAACCAACCGGTGCTGTAGCAAGCTCTCTTCAGAGGATTTTCGCACCCGTTTACCTCAGGCAAGCGCAGGAGCCCAGTGCGCATGCTCAGAGGGGCGGGCGTGGATATCCCGCCAGTTCTTTTTCTACCGCTGCGTTGAAAGGATCGATTTTTCTCTCCTCCGACTCGGATCGCTGTAGCTGCCTTCGGGCCATCTAGCTCTCCTTTTTTCTTCAAAAAAGTTGTTCTTCGTTGTTTTTTTCCTTCTTTTTTCTCTCAAACTACAAAAAACAAACTATTTTTCTGTTGATTTTTCGTCAGCCACTGAGGGGATTTGTTCCTAAGGCCTTCGAGCCTTCCCCTCCCCCTCCCACTTCTCCTCAGATATTCCTTCTCTGCCCGCTTCCATCCGTATGGAAGAGAACAAAAAGAAGGGGGAAAAGTGGGGATTTTTTAACCGCTGCCGTAGGTGCGGTAGCAAATTGGCTCCCCTCGACGGCCATAAATTGTGTTTGTTTTGTCTGGGAGAGTCCCACAAGCCAGAGACTTGTAGACACTGCGTGAAATTCTCTAATCAAACTAAGAAAAATCGTGCAGCTCGTTTAAAAGTTGTGTTACTGGAGTCTGCCCTTAATCCGCCTTCGACTATGGAGGAACCACCTTCTACATCTAAAAGGGCCATCGGTACTGACCAGTCGACGTCGAAAAAATCGACATCAAAAATTGCTTCGGGGACATCGAAGGCTACGACTAAAAAGCTGCAAAGACAGGTACCTCTAAAGCCTACCAAAGCGACGCCTACACCGTCAAAGAAGGGTAAGACAGTACTGTCTGAAGAGATTTTATTGCAGCCATCTACGCCGAAGGTGGTGTCAATACCGGAGCCTCCACCACCAACGCAGATGCCACCTACTGGTCTATTGGCCTCCCCTGTGCGCCAACAGGCACCAGACGTCGCTCTGGTCTCACTCTTCACGAATGGGGAATAAAATCTACCTACCTCCTCCCTATCTTCCAGATGTGGGGGACTCCCCAAGTCAACATCTTCGTGACCAAAGACAACAAGAAGTGTCGCCTGTTCTGCAGTTGGGGAGGTCAAGGAGCCCAGTCCTTGGGGAATGGCCTTCTTTATCCATGGTCAACGAGACATCTGTACATGTTTCCTCCCCTGCCTCTAATCTTCCGGGTCATCCGCAGGATCCTCAAAGAGAATGCGAGGGTGATATTGATAACACCATGGTGGCCCAGACAGCCCTGGTTCTCGACGCTCCTAGAACTGGCTCAGGGAACGTATTACCATTTTCCTTTGGTCCCAGACCTCCTTTGTCTCGCCAATTCGCCGATACTGCGTCACGATGTGAAAACACTAAAGCTGACGGCTTGGCGTATAGAACCCCAAACTTCTCAGACCGTATAGCACACGTACTGCTGAATGCGAGAAAACCATCCACTTGCAAATCTTACAAATATTAATGGAAGAAATTTTGTGCCTTTGTCGGGACTGACACATCTCATGCCACATCAGCTGGCCTAGAGAAAGTTTTTTTGTGCCTTTGTCGGGACTGACACATCTCATGCCACATCAGCTGGCCTAGAGAAAGTTTTTTTGTTTCTTTTATCCCTTGCTGACTCGGGGCTTTCCCATTCCTCGTTACGTGTTTATTTAGCTGCTTTATCAGCATTCCATGTTCAAGTTGACGGTTGTTCACTGTTCACACATCTGGTCACCAAACGTTTTCTGAAGGGTTTGTTACGCCTCTACCCTCCAGTTAAATCCCCAGTTACTCCTTGGGACTTACCTCTAGTCTTGCGTCAATTAACACGGAAACCGTTTGAACCTTTGGCCACTTGTGAGTTACGGCTCCTTGCTTGGAAAGCGGCCTTTTTAACCGCAATCACGTCAGACAGATGGGTGGGAGAACTGTTAGCCTTTCAGCATGACCCACCTTAAGAACATAAGAACATAAGAGACGCCAATGTTGGATCAGGCCAAAGGCCCATCCAGTCCAACACTCTGTGTCACACAGTGGCCAGAAATACCAGTGCCATCAGGAGATCCAGCAGTGGGGCCAGGACATTAGAAGCCCTCCCAGTGTTGACCCCCCCCCCCCAAGCACCAAGAAGACAGAGCATCACTTGCCCCAGAGCCCCTAGCTATACCTTGTGGCTAATAGCCACTGATGGACCTCTGCTCCATATGCTTATCTAATTCCCTTTTGAAGCCGTCCATGCTTGTAGCACCCACCACTTCCTGTGGCAGTGAATTCCATGTGTTAATCACTCTTTGGGTGAAGAAGTACTTCCTTTTATCCGTTCTAACCCGACCGCTCTGCAGTTTCATGGAGTGCCCACGAGTTCTTGTATTGTGAGAAAGGGAGAAAAGTACCTCTTTCTTTACCTGCTCTTTCCCATGCATAATCTTATAAACCTCGATCATGTCACCCCTCACCTTACCTCTCTGTACTCCCTGATGGGGTCCGTCTACTGCCAGATATCACTTTCTTGCCAAAGGTGGTTTCTGAGTTTCATTTACAAGCTGTAGTAGTCTTACCGGACTTTTCCCCTAACCCTAAGACGGATGAGGACCGTCTGTTACATAATCTGGATGTCAAGAGGGCTCTCTTGTTTTACCTGAAAAGGACACAACCAACTAGACGTGATCCACATCTCTTTGTGTCGTACGCTTCATCACGAATGGGTAGTCACATTACTGCGCAAAGGCTATCCAAGTGGATCGTGGGTCTCATTCGGCTATGCTATCTCCTGGCGAAACAGCCGTTACCTGGACCAATCAGAGCCCACTCTACCAGGGCTCTCGCGATGTCCACGGCTTTCCTCAAGGGAGTACCACTTCAAGACATCTGTAAGGCTGCAACGTGGGCCACGCCTAACACTTTTATCAGGCATTACGCCCTCAACGTCCGAAAGAACAATACCAGCATGGGACGTCGCATTTTGTCTTCAGCCAAGCAATAATCATCCTGCCAGCGCCCTCCTCCAGGTAGGATACTGCTCGCTAATCTCCCATTGGTGTGAAGCACAGAGACCACGAAGAAGATAAACAGGTTGCTTACCAGTAACTGGTGTTCGAGTGATCATCTGTGCATTCACACCACCCGCCCTCCTTCCCCGCTGCTGTCAGCTTCTACAATTTTGAATAGAGGTTGTTGTGCGGCGGTGCTCTGAAGGAACTGGTGGGATGTCCGCGCCCGCCCCTCTGAGCATGCGCACTGGGCTCTTGCGCTTGCCTGAGGTAAACGGGTGCGAAAATCCTCTGAAGAGAGCTTGCTACAGCACCGGTTGGTTTAGCGCGTGCGCACTAAACCCTTTGGTGTGAATGCACAGATGACCACTCGAAGATCACCAGTTACTAGTAAGCAACCTGGGTTTTTTTGACATTTCCAACAATCATTTGGTAGGTCAAGATAAAATCTTACTAATTTATCTGGAGTCATATACCATCTATAAAACATTTGTAAATATTTCCTTTATATGAAGTTGCTTTGGTAATTTTCCATATCTGTAACCATTGATCTAAATCACTATTATGACCTAGGTTTTATGCCCATTTAACCATAGAATCTTTAACTATTTCATCCTGCGTTTTACTTTCCAGCATTATTACATACAGTTTTTGATCAATTTTTCTTGTGAGAGATCCAGTACATTTCAGAGGAACGTTACACTGTAATTCTATTTTGTTTATGTGCTCTTTGGGACTTTTAGAAGTGTTGAAATCTGTTAATGTAAACTACAAGGTGTGCAGTGCTTTTCGTGTCTGCCCAAAAGTTAGTCCCACTTGTTTCAATTAGACTTATTGCAAGATTGTAAGTGTATGCAAGATTGCAGACATAGCTGAGTACAACAACTCTGGTCTTGACATATGTCTAGTTTGCATTGATAATAAGGGGACTTTCATTCCCAACATTGTGTTCCACCTGTATTTGTACCAAGGGGAGAGCAGGTAATCTTGTATGTAATGTTCATGTTTGTTGGAAGTACAGAACCTTAATTATCACAGTATTCGTCTGTTTTAATTGTTTCTCTACAGTTAAACCTTATTCTTAAAAAAATTTTTATTGAAAGACTTAAACAAATACAAATAACAACGTAAACAGTATAAACAATAATTGGGCCAAGAAGTTAAACCTTATTCTGACATTAACAAATGGAAATACCATATGAAACAATTTACTACCTCCATAGTTATATATACATAGTCAAATAACAAAAATCTTCCTGATTTTATGTTCCCAAATAACTGTTGAGGACAAGTCCTGCAATTACCCAGGTGATGTCAGAATTTTTGTTGCTGCTAACATATAGGGTACGGTCAGACAGCGTGCTGAGAGCGGGTTAAACTGCTCCAGTTCTGACCGGATTATATTTGATCTGGATAATTGCAATCACACTTACCTCCCTTATCCCGCCTCACCGCGCAGTCATGTCGCTCCCCGGCATCTACACTACAGGATTTTTTTAAAATCTCAGTTTGCGCATGCACATAGGCACTCAGCCATAGAATGCACATGCGCAGAACCACCAGGGCAAATCAATCCAACCCCTCCAACAAAAGACTTCCCTTTAAACTTTTGACCCAAAAATGGCCTCCGTGAGATCCCAAACTCATCTAAACGCTAAAAGAAGAGACTGTTTAAATTTCGGTTTTATAAACAGGTGGGCGGAACTCCGCCTATGCGTACACCGCCGACGCATTAAAAAATGGTGGGCGAAAAGTGTGCAGCTTTTGAGTGGGGAGGGGGTTTAAACTAGAAGTGGCTCGACATTGGAGGAGCGATCACATGGGGAAATGTGGCTTTAAATGGGAGAGCTGAGAAAACACCACTTTGGGACCTGGTAACAAAATATTCTGGTTTTGAGCTGGAAACCAACGGCTGGGGACGGGAGGAAGATGTTGACCGTGTGATTGCACGTATAAAATCCGTTACTGAAGCGTGGCGACACCAGATCAAACGGCACGTCTGAACACACCCATAGATTGTCAATTGTCTGTGCACTACTCTCTCTTCCTCTCATATGATCCTGGTATAGGATTAAGACAATCTGTAGACTCTGATCTTATTCTGCATACCTGTTTCTAATATACCTATATTACTTCACACTGCCACACTTCTGATAGTATGTTCTGACCTATCACAGTGCCAGCAAAGGTCACTGAGATTTCAGAAATATCTTTTTATGAGAAACTAGAAATCATATTTCAAATTGAGGTCCAAAATCTGAGTTTGTAGATCTCATTTCAGTTTGAGTTTGACTCACATTTGTGTGTTCTAGTCCCAGGAATATAGAGGGAGATTTTGGGTATTACTTGAATGGAGGGAGGGTCATATATTACCTTGTCAAAAGTAGCCAGATTTCTAAAAGGGTAGTGTGGTAACTTATTGTATCCAATTTTCTGTCCGTAAATACTAGAAAACCGAGAATGTAGGAGGAAAGATCTTAATACATAACATTGTAAAAGATAAAACAAAGTTTGAGTCCAGTGGCACCATTAAGACCAACACAGGCTCTGATCACACGGGCCGGAAAATGCGGGGGGGGGAGCGCGCTGGCTGTTTGCCCTGGGGCAAAATAACACGCGGTTGCGCGATCAGACATCCCGTGGAGGTACCGTGGTTAGGGGGGAGGTGCCGATCATAGGACAATCCTGCGGCGCAGCAAAGAAGCGGGGTGGCGGGGCAAACGGAGTTGTATTTTTTTAAAAAACCTGAAGTGTGCGCATGCTCCGTTGGGTGCTTGTGCGCATCTGTGGAGACTTGGGGGGAAAAAACCCTTTTTGCGAGGGGACATGGGTA